TAAAGAAATGCAGTACTTATACGCGCTGCAGTGTGGATGGACCTTGAAAACATTAGATTAAGGGAAAGAAGCCAGACACAAAGGCCATATACCGTACGTTTCCATTCTTATGAAATATGCACAGGAGGCAAATTTATAGAGACAGAAAGCAGATTAGTGAGTGCCAGGGGCTGGGGAAGTGGAAATTGGAAGTGACTACCTGATGAATATGAGGCTTCTTTAGGGGCTGATAAAAATCTTCTGAAATTTTATGGTGGTGATGGTTTTACGACATTGCAAATGTAAAAAGTCACTGAATTGTACATCTTAAATGGTGAAAATGGTAAGTTTTAGGTTATGTGAATTTTATCTATAAACAAATTCAGCACTATTTTTTTTTTATTTTCTTGCTCAAATTAATCCAGCTTTGGCCATCAGGGACTCCACTTAGTTGGTTCCTGGGTTCTTTCAATAGCCCCTATAAGTAGTGGATTGAATGTCCCTCCTCCAAACTCAATGAGGGTTGAATGACTTCCCATCCTCCCAACACGGTGACTGTTGGGAGGATGGGAAATCCTGTTATGGTAATTGAACGGTAGGGGCTTGGGGAGGTGATTAGATTGTAGGACAGTGCCTAGTGAATGGATTAAAAATGGTGGTGAGAGGCGTGGTTCTGAGGGATTTAAAAAGACAATGCATGAGTTGCTCGCTCTCTTTCCTCCACCATCTTCTGCCATGTGAGACCCCTGGGTCACTGTCACCACCACCGGATGTGTTTCCTGGACTTTGGACTTCCTAGCCTCTGAAACTGTAACCACTTTGTAGGTTGTCTTTTCTATTGCAGTCACTGTAGTGTGCAGACTGTGGAAGCTCACTGTGGTCTTAATTTGTGTTTCCCCAATAATTAATGACAATGAGCATCTTTTCATGTTTATTTACAATCCACATACATATTTGGTAAAGTATTTGTTTAAATCTTTGTACTTTTTAAAAACATTCAATTGTTTGTCTTCTTATTGACTTGTAACTACAAGTTCAAGTTACAAACCTTTATCAGTTGTGTGCATTGAAAATTTTATTTCCCAGTTTATGGTTTATCTTTTCATTTTCTTAAAAGTATCTGTTGAACAACACATGGTTTGTTTTTTTTTAAATTGAAGTCCAATTTATCCATTTTGTCTTGTGTGGTTCATTATTTGTGTTTTATCTAAAACTTCCTTCACTAACCCAAGATCACAAACCTTTTTCCTGTTTTCTTCTAGAAGTTTTATATCTTTGCTCTTACAATTAGATCTATGATCCAGTTCAAATTAGTTTTTGTGTATGATGTGAGGTCAGGGGAAAGTCAAGGTTGTTTTCTTTTGTTTTGTTCTGCATATGGTTGCTCAATTGTTCCAGCAACATTTGGTGAAGAGGCGATTCTTGATACTTTCAGTACCACATTATCTTAGCACCTGTGTCAAAAATCAATTGGTCACACATGTGTCGGTCCATTTCTTGACTCTTTATTCTGTTCTGTTGATCTACAGGTTTAAGCTTCCTGCAGCATCACACTGTCTTAGTTACTGTGGTTTTGTAGTAAGTCTTAAACTACTTGATATTAAGTCTTCCAACTTTCCTCTTCTTTTTCCAAATTATTTTGTCTATTCTAGGTCCTTCACTTTTCAAGCTAAGTTTTAAAATCAGAAAGGAGGGCTTCTTAAATAAATGGTGCTGGGAAAACTGGATATCCATGTGCAGAAGAATGAAACTAGACCTGTACCTCTATCGCCATATACCCAAATAAACTCTAAATGGATTAAAGACTTAAATATAAGACCTGAAACTATAAAACTACTAAAAGAAAACATAGGGGAAACACTTCAGGATGTAGGGCTTGTCAAAAATTTTATTAATAAGCCCTCAAAAGCACAGGCAACTAAAGAAAAAATAAACAAATGGGATTATATCAAACTAAAAAGCTTCTGCACAGCAAAGGAAACTATCGACAGAGTGAAAAGACAACCCCTAGAATGGGAGAACATATTTGCAAACTATACATCTGGCAAGAGATTAATATCCAGAATATACAAGGAACTCAAACAACTCAACAGTAAAAAAAATCAAATAACCCAATTAAAAAATGGGCAAAGGAGCTGAACAGATGTTTCTCAAAGGAAGACATACAAATGGCCAATAGACACATGAAAAAATGCTCAACATCACCAAGCATGAAGGAAATGCAAATCAAAACCACATAGAGATATCACCTCATGCCAGTTAGAATGGCTATTATCAAAAAGTTAGAGAATAACTAATGCTGGTGAGGATGTGGAGAAAGGGGAACCCTCCTGCACTGTTGCTGGGACTACAAACTAGTGCAGCCTTTACAGAAAGCTGTGTGGAGGTTTCTCAAACAACTACAGTTAGATCTAGCATATGATCCAGCAATCCCACTGCTGAATGTATACCCACTGGAATATACCTGCACTCCCATGTTTATTGAAGCTCTATTTACAATAGCCAAGAGTTGAAACCAACATAGATGGCCATCGATGGACAACTAGATAAGCAAAATGTGGTATAGATATGCAATGGAATACTACTGTGCCATAAAAAGTGAAATACTACCATTCACAGCAACATGGATGAACTCAGAGAAAATTATGTTAAATGAAATAAACCAGGCACAGAAAGAGAAATACTGCATGTCCTCACTCATAAGAGGGAGCTAAAAAATAAATTAGTTAATTAAAAAGAAAGAAAGAAAGAAAGAACAATCACAATAATTTGAACTTTCAAATTTTTGAACTTTCAAAAGGAGAGAACAGAACTATAGTTATTAGAGGTAGGAAAGGGGCAGGGGGAGGAGGTTAGTGAGAAATTGGTTAAGGGTCACAAAGAACGATTACGTTTTGTAAAGATTTGTATAGTAATTATCTTGACTTGATCATCACATATCATACACAGGTACTGATATTCAACTCTGTATCCCACAAATATGTACAATCAATTGTGCTTTAATTAAAAAAGAGTACCCCCCAAAATAAAAATAAATAAATAAAATTTACCTTAAAAAGTAAAATAAACTTGCTAATTTCTACACTGGGATTTTGATTGGGATTGGGATAAATCTACAGATCAATTTAGGGAGAGCTGATGTCTCAACACTGTTAAATCTTCCCGTCCATGAACAGTGCGTATCTCCGCTGCTCAGGTCTTCCGTAGTTCTTCAACAATATTCTGTAGCTTTCACCCCACAACCCTGCACATATTTTGTTAGGTTTATCCCCAAGTATTTCATCTTTCTGATGCTCCTGTAAATGGATTTGAGTTGTGTTGTGGCTATATTACCCTCTGAGAACCGCAGCCTTCAAATTAGTACGGGGGTGGCACTATCTTCTGCCTACTGTGTGGCCTTGGTGGGGGGTTTCCTTCGCTGCTACACGTTGCACATCTGTGTCACAGAGGAAAGGTCTCTCACACACTAGCCCCCCTTGGTAGACTGCTGGGTTCACCCATGGTGGGGAACAGGGTCCAGCCTCAGTCTCAGGCTCTCGGCCCCATGTCCTTGGCATCCTGACCCTCCTTGTGGAGACAGCCAAACGCTGCCTTATACTTGTGATGGGCCCTGGGTGGGAACGTTTCTTGCTCTTCCCAGCAGTCACAGAGCTCTGCTGTGAATCCGTGGGCTATTCTGGGCCCACCGGGCTCCCTCCCCTCACCCAACCTCACATGGCCTTCACCTCCCCTCCCCCAGATGCTGTGGAGCTTTGCCCAGGGGCTCAGGGCTTTTGCCTAGAATGCAAGAAGGGCCTGGAACAGAACAGGGTTTTGTGCCTGTGTGTACCTGAAAGGACTCTCCCTGGTGTCCTCCCTGCCCCCAGACTTTCTTGTGAGCACCTGATAGACACCTGTGTAAAGTACTCATCAGTAGGTTTCGATTCTCTTGTGTCCAGGGTTCCTGAGGTCTCTATACTTTCATGTTTGTCTACACTTATCTTTAAGAATTCGTCACAATTTTGGCTCGTGGAGTTTCTTCCTGTCCACTCCCACAGCATTCTTCGCTGACTCCCACGCTGCGCAGAGGGAACTCGCTGGAGGCCCCGTCTCTCCTCAGAGCGCTCTGCCTCTCTTTGGAACTCTGTTTACCTGGTTGCCTTGTAACCTCAGCTTCTGGGTGGGCTGAAAAGCCACACATCTGTAGGTCATTCTGCTTTCTCTTGGTTTTGCTGTGGCTGTCATTAGGGTGGGAGAGATGTTCTCTTGTGGCTTTCTACCTCCTAACCAGACAAACTGAAGAAGGATCCAGCAACAATAAATTCTGAAAGCACAATGAGGGCCCGGCACACAGGAAACTGTGATCTGCAGACCCAAGCCCTGAAACAGTGTGCTGCTGGCGTCTGCATCGACAGGCACAACCGGGGAAAGATGCAAACATCCACAAAGAGAACCAGATGCACGCGCTGGAGAGCGTCTCAGGAGACTGGATGGACCTGATAATAAGTGGTGTTGAGACAACTGAGCAGTCATGTGACAAAATGTGACATTGGATAAGCTCCAAATGGACCAAGCAACTATGGGAGGATTCATTTATAACCTTGCTTGGTGGAAGACTTTTTAAAATATGACTCAAACACATAAGTCATGGTACTATGGTTTGAATGTATGTGTCCCTCCAAAATGTGTGTTGGGACTTAACCCCCAAGGTGATGGGGCCCTGGGGAGGTGGTTAGGCCATGAGGGCTTCACCCTCCTGTATGGGATTAGTGCCCTCATAACAGGGCTAGAGGGAAGCAGTTCAGTCTTTCGTCTTTTCCCCCATGTGAGGACACCTATAAAGACCATCTATGAGGAAGGGGCCTTCACCAAACACCAAACCTGCCAGTCTTAATCTTGGGCTTTCCAGCCCCAGAACAGTGAGAAATAAATTTCTGTTGCTTATAAATTACCCAGTCTCAGATATTTTGTTACAGCAGCCCAAATGGCCTACGACACAAACACTTCTCCCTGGCAAAAATACCAAGACTGATGTCAAATGTAAAAAAAAAGAGTTTTTTTGGAATTTTATTACTGACAGAGAATAATCTCACAGTGCATAAAGAGATCAACAGGAAAACGGACAACAGACGCAGAGATCCCATAAAAAGGAATACAAATATCCACTGCAAATACAAAAACTTGCTCAACTTCACTCATAATTAAGGAATGCAAAATAAAAACACACCAGGATGCTATTCTCACCTGTCAGACTGGTGGAAACCCGAAGGATGAACAAAGAACGCACCTCTGCTGACCGTGCACGGGAAGAGGCCAGTGTCTCTCAGTGGCGGGGGGACAAGACTGTCCAGTGACCGGATGCAGCGACTGGGCATACTCGTCTGAAGTGCAAATACACGCAAGCTTTGGCTGTGCACCTGGTTCCTGGGAGGTGGCCTTCCCGGTGCACCTGCATGTGTAAGCAGTGACACTACGGACGACAGCAGCACTGTGTACAAATGTAAAACAGCATCGACAACGACGTTCGCGAAAGGAGGCCATTTAAATAAACCAGGTCACAGCTGGGTCACGGGACACTACGCACCGCAAAGTCCTTTAGGAAAGACCCAGCTGTCAGGGCCCAGGCTGCGGAGGGCGCGTCCTCCAGCGTGGCGGGGGCGCTGCAGGTGGCTGCAGGAGGCGGCGAAATTTCCAGAAGGAGCTGGGCCGGCAGGGGGCGCGGCGGCCGCGGACAAGCGCTCACACGTGGGATGGACGCTCGGGCCGGCGCCGCTGACCCCGGTCCTCCCCTGCAGAGCCGGCCGCTGCGGAGGATGCTCCTGCTCGCCCTGCTTCTGGCCCTGGGCCTGCCCCGCGTGGGGACCAACGCCACCAGGCCGGAGCCGCAATTCAGGCGTGAGTCCCGCGCCCTCGGCCCCTCTGCCCCCTGGGTCGGGCGGCACCCTGGCTCGTGTTCCAGACCCCGCTGTCGGCTCGGGGACCCTGCCTCACTGGGGAGGCCAGGCTGAAGCCAAGGCTGCTGGAGGAGGCTCTCCCAGCCCCGCGGGGGCTCCTGGGCTGGGCGGGGCCGAGGGAGTGGGCAGGCGCCAGGGTCTGGTGGGCTGGGGAGGTGAGATGCGGGTTGCGTGTGTGGCCTCATGTGTCTGTCGGGGGGCAGGGCTGTGTCCAGGTGAGGATGTATGTGCGTGCTTGGAGGGGGCCAGGTCAGACGCCTTGCACGTGGATGCAGGAACCCCTGGGAGAGAACACAAAGAACTCAGGTGAAACCAGGTGGGCGGTGGGGCGCAGGAAAGATGGGCACCCACTGGTGCTGGATGAGCTCGGGGGGTGACGGGCATTCACCTGATAGCAGTGGGGACTGTAATATTCTCCTCTCCTTTTTGTTCCCCACGTCCACAGCAATAATAAATTGTCACATTTGCGAGCAAGAGAACAGTTTCGACTGCAAGAACTCGCAGGTCTGTGGAGCAGATGACCAGTACTGCAATATAGTTGTCATAAGTAAGTGTCGCAATTCACGTGGGGCCCCACAGGCAGGCTCATAGCATACTTCCAGGAATTAGGGTCTGCCTAGTTTTTCTCCCATAGAGAATAACTAATATAAAGTGATTTTAAAAAAAAAAAAATTTAAGAGCGAAGTCCAGGGGTTCAAAGCAGGTGGAAGGGCTCCCCAGGTCTGGGGCTGCATAGGGAGGCACACCTCAACAGCCGTGGAGATGAGAAATTGGGGGGTAGGAAGAAATAGAGATTTATTTTCATTCATTGTTAAATGAGAACTTAAGCTTTAATGTTAAATGCCCCACTGTGTCTAGATAGGTTTTGCGAGAGATGTATGGAGATCGGGGTGAAGGGTAAACGTGTGTTCCCAGAAGTGCGCCTGCTTTAAACAGTTTGGAGACCACTGCTCTATGTTTTACTCACCGAAGAACTTCTGGGCACGTGAACACCTCCCCCAAGGGGAATCTGAATGCCCACAACATTCTGCCCACAGTGGTGTCTTCAGGGCTTGAGAATTCAAATTCAGTTAATCAGTCTTCTGTTTTAGAAAGTTTGTTGTACATGGAGGCAGTGGTTAAGACCCAGTTTAGCCAGTGTGGACTTTATAAGTTAACATGGAAAAATGATTTGCACATGAAGTCTAAGACGAGGTGAGGTAATAAGATGTGCTCCCCAGCCCACAGTTGAGTCGGGCCCACTGAGAGGCCAGCCCCAACCCCTGGACCATGGCCAGGATGGGCGGGAGTCCCTTGCCCCATGTGTCTGTCTGTGGGCACAAAGGCCTGAGCCAACGCTATGTTTGAAAAGTTGGGGCACAGAGGGCATGTGTGTTCCTAAAAGAGACTCCCAGACCCAGTGCACATGGACAGGCCAGGGAGGAGTCCCTTGCCCCATGTGTCTGTCTGTGGGCACAAAGGCCTGAGCCAACGCTATGTTTGAAAAGTTGGGGTACAGAGGGCATGTGTGTTCCTAAAAGAGACTCCCAGACCCAGTGCACATGGACAGGCCAGGGCCAGGGCACCTGAAGGCCACACTGCACACAGCCACCCCTTTCCCGAAGCAGCTTTGAACACAAAGGCCTGACCCTCTTTCTCCTCAGGACAGCTCCTGACTCCCCCCAGATTCTCCTAAGAGTGTGGGTCTCTGAGAGGGGTCCCCAAGGGGTGAGGCTTTGGTGTAGGGGCTTTGGATTCGCATGATTTCCTCACTCTGCCTTTGTTTCCTGTTAGGCATATTTCCACGTTTCTTCTTGGTTGCAAAGTCATGCTCCCAATACTGTCCAGTGATTGAGATGCCCCGCCCGAAAGCCAAGCCATTTATTCTCTTGAAGCCTCTGCCCTTCTTATACGTGAAGTGTTGTACAGAAAACTTGTGCAATGAAGCTGGGCCTAAAGTCAACGAGACGGCATTCAGGGAACATGCTGGGAGAGCAAGCGAGATGAGGTGCGGCAATGTGGGGTTGGTGATGCTCCTGGCTCTGGCATCCATGTCCGGCCTCTGCCTGCTGTGAGCCAGGAAGTGCATGGACTCACTGCACGCTTTTGGAACCTGTCACATTAAACATGTTTTCCGTTGATTACCTCTTGGTCTGACTTCCCAGTTATTCCAGTTGGCTGTAAGCCCCAGGAGCTCCTCAGCTCGCATTCAGGGCAAGTCCACATCTCCTGGTGGTGATTTTGTTGACAAGTGTCTCTCTTTGAATTCAACTCATAACTCTGTTTGTTGCTGACAATCACTCTTTTTCTCTACTCCTCTTAGCCTGCAAAGGCTTCAGTATTGATGGGGAGGGGGGCCTAAGTCACACCCATGAAGAGTATGTGCTCCATGCTTCTGACCGCTCAGGTGACCCAGGACCACTGGAGGAAATGGGATGACTTGGGAGTAAGACATCTCTGCAGTGAAGGGCTTCTCAGCCTTGGGCTGGGGGGCGGGGGAGAGCGAATAGTTGGCATCATCCTGGGGATACCCCTCTTCTGATGGGGGAGGCACCGTAGCTGCTGTTCTTCAACTCTTCCTACCCAATTCCAGGGGACGGAAAATAAGGAACTCTATTGAATGAACTTAGACTTCACCCATCAATTGGCAAGGGTGCATGGATTCACGAATCCTCCCACATGTATTTGTCCAACATCTAAAACTTGGGCCAGGTAGACAGCAGCGGGGTAAATTTCTTTCGCTTTAAAATGAAGATGAAGCCATCCAAAGATCTGAGAAGTCTGATTCAAAGTTCTGCACAAAATATGTTCTCCCCATGGTGTTGACTCAGTGTCCGGCAGGATGCGCCCCAACCACTGCTCACCTTCCTCTCCCACTTGCCTACACTTTTCTGTCCAGCCCCCACCTAGTCTGAGACAGGGAGGCTGCTGGGTGGGGCAGCCTGGGGAACCTTCCAGAAAGAGTTGCTGTTCTATTCCTGAGACATGGAGGACAGGGTCATCTAGGTCATATCTGGACCCGCTAAACTTGAGGCCAAAGTCCATTCTGGGGGCAGTGGGAAGGGAGAGTCCCTGAGGGCTGGCCAGCAACTCCAGGACTGGAGAGGACCTCCTGCACCCATTGGCCTCCTCCTGTGTGCACGCCCCTTTGCCCATCACAGGGTCTCTGTGTTCCCACCTGCCATTCATGTCTTCATCCAGTAACAGGAGCCCCAGCTACTTCCGATTCGGATTCCCGGGCTGGAGTTCAGGGAGCACCACTTTTTTGATGGCAGGCAAAAGTGGGTACTTCACCCAGAAAGAGCAAGTGAGGTAAAAGGTCAACCACAGGAGTTTCCATGGAAACCTGACATTAGAATCTCTGCAAGTGGAGAATGTAATGTACAGTGTAAAATAAGAGGAAGTCAAGAAATGTGAATATAGAAAAGTCCCGAGCTGGAACTGGTGGGTCTTTGGTGGTGTGAGAAGCACTTTTGATGACCTGATCACGGGAGACATCAAGTTTTTGGTGGATGAAGATGAATTGAGAGATATGCTGTCACTACCGTGATAGGTCCTCTATCTAGAAGAGTCTCCATGAAGGAAGGAAGAATAGAGGGTAGTATTTAGAAAAGATCAGGGTTCAACAGAAGGGCCTCAGTATGAATGTAGAACCTGAGTCTCTGTTGGCTAAAGGTTAGGCATCGGTCATGAGAGAGATTGAGGAAGCCGAAGACAGTGGCCCTTTGATCCAGGAACACACAGGTAGAATAGAGTGGGATACAGATCCAAGGCCACAAGAGTGACAGGAAGGACAGACACTTCCTCCCATCCACCTGGCAGAGTACAGGCAGGCATGTGCAGAAAGATCAAGTGTGGGAAGGGCCAAGAAGTAACAGCCACATTTTCTCTGAAGCAGAGTACAGGTGTGTCTGCTCAGAGAATGAGAGCACATAAAAGGCTGGACTTTGGTGTGATGGCAGCTTGGGACAGTTCCTAAAGGAAAGAGAGAAGGGAGGTCACAGGGACAGAACACAGGGTTGCCCAGCAGTGTGAGATCATGGCTGAGGTAGGGCATCAAACATTTGCAGAGACCCAGAAGAGCTTGGCAGTGGGTTTTCCCCAGCAGCAGTCTGTATGTAAATGTGGAAAAGGCAGATGACAAAAGTGTATCTGGGTGTGAGCTGATCCATGAGGTCCCAAGGGCAAGAGAGGATTGCAGTTGGTTTCCAGAGAGCATTGACTGATGAACTGTGGAAACTCGAGTGGCTAGACGAGGAAGTCAGAGCAAGGTGAGAAATACCATTCCCAAATGGGCTGGGGCACAGACCCCGCTACCCAGTCCTATTCAGGTCATCAGTCAGGTAAGTGAAAAAAAAAAACCAAATAGCCACTGGCAAAGCGGACATGCTTTATTTCAGACATGAGCTCTGCCAGCAGCGGTCTGAAGCAGATGCTTTTTATACCAAAAGGACACAACGTTGGCAACAAGCCAAGGGGTACATGGGCCCACGTGGGCAATAACTCTACTCCTATGCAACTTGTTTACAACGGATCTGCTGAATCATACCCAGCCAATATAAGGCGAGAGGGCATGACCAAACTAACTCCATTGTCCTCACACCAAAGAACAGTATCAAGGCCAGAAACTGAAGACCCCTTAGAAATACAGAGCAGCGTATTGGCAATAATGGAGAATAGAGCAGGAAAGAAGAGATAATAGTCACTAAAAACCACGAGAACTTGTTTCGGTAATGGGCCACAATAATCAACCACATTGTATATTGACAAAATAAAATAAAATAAAATAAGCCCACAGAATAAATAGTACAGAATAAATGAAGGCTCAGACTAGTGCGGAAGGAATGGGTTACTCAATAGACGGCACTGCTGAAACAGGCCACCGTGTTACAGTAGAACAGGTGTGAGGCCAGCGATAGGAAACGCCATTCACAGTGACTTACACAGGATGCAAAGGTGCGTCTCTCACTCGTGTAAATGAAGGGGGGAGGTTAGCTGCCCGGGGACGCGTGTGGCTGCGTGTGGCTGCCGTGCAGCAGTGCTGACACAGCATGGGCGTACTACGTGCAAGAGTGAACGGGACAGACACGATATCCGAAGACACAAGAGCGAACAATTTTCCAAAACTGAAGGTATCAACATACAGATTTGAGAAACTGAAGCAGAATAGATTCAAACAAAAATCACAGGCATGCGCACCACGGGAAAACGCCAAAAGCCAGCAATACAGAGAAAGCCTTCAAAACGGCCACAGTACTCAGGGAGCAACAGTAAGGTCAGAAGTGCGTTCCCAACGTCAGCAGCGAGAGACGACGACGACACACCGACCAACTGCTGGGAGAAAGCGACTGCTGACCTAGAACCTGACACGCGACAAAAACGACCACACAGCAGGGAATACAAAGGACAGAAGAGAGACGATCTCCCGCGTGAGCAGAGAAACGCAGGGGAACGTGAACAGCGCCGGGAGGAACGACCGCGCCGGCAGAAGCGGGAGCCCGGGGCGCACGGGGCCGCGCCGAGGCCTGCGGGGACGCACGAGCCGCAGCTCGGGGAGGCCGGGCCCGCCGCGGGAGCCCAGGGTACAGATCCCAGCGGAATCCACTGCGGACGCCGAACACCGAGTTTCATGCATGTTTACGCAAGGCTGCTTTCTCCCTCCTTTAGATAAATAAAAACCGTTCTCAACGAGAGGGGGACAAAACGGACGGCAGCTGCATCCGGGCTGCGGGTAACGCTCCGTGGAGCGGCCCGAGGAGCTGCGACCGCGACCTCCGGTGTGGGGTCTCCGGGCTGAGGAGGGGGCGTCGCTGCCGGTCCCGAGATCTCTAACGGGGCGACGGAGCCGGTCCGGCAGCCGCGGAGAGAAGCGCCCCCGCCGGCGCAAAGACGCCGCTGAGCAACGCGTAAACCGGAAGCCGCAGGAGGAAACCGGAAGCAGACCGGAAGGAGCGCTTCCCCGCCTCCTCCCCAGCCTCGCCCGCTCCCTCTGGCGCCCCTAGCGGGAGACCCCGGCGCGGCGCCGTCTTGCCAAGCAGGCGTGTGGGCTGCAGGGCCGGGCGTGGAGTGCGGCGTGGTGGGCGCTGTGCTGCGGAGTCGTTAACTTAGATCTTGGCACACTTTGCATGCTCTGAACAGAAGAGCTCTGGCAGAGTTCTACTGTCAGATAAAGGTGACGCCGATACAAGAAACGTTACTATGTTGGAGGGCTTTTCACAATTGCAAAAGGGCAAATCCAGCAGGTAGTCATAATAATTCTAAATTTGTATGCTTCTATTAATAGAGCCTCAAACTATATAAAGCAAACATTAACAGAAATAAAAGGCGAAATGCTAGATTTCAGTATACTTCTTTCAATGTATGATAGGTCAGGACAGCAAATTAATAAAGATGTACTATGTTTCAATATCTTGATTAATAATCTTGGCCCAAGAACACATACAGAGCACTGCACCCAGCAGCTGAAAAGTCACAGTCTTTTAAAGTGTACATGGAACCTTCATCAAATTTTTGCCCATATGTTGGGTATAAAGCAAATCTGAACAACTTTAATTGAAATTGAAATTGTGTAGAGTATGTTTTTGACCATAGTGAAATTAAAGAAGAAATGAATAACAAATTAAAATATTCCTAAATATTTGAAAGTTAAGCAATACATTTCTAAAGAACCTAAGATTCAAAAAAACACAATGAAAATTAGAAAATATTTATATTAAATTACAATGTGTATATGACATATAATAGTGCTAAGGCCATACTTAAGAGAAATTTGTGATCTAAAAACATATCAATGCGGAAAAGTCTGAAAGTCAGAAATCTGAATATTTATTTCAAGAAATTGGAAAAAACCAGCAAATAAGCCCAAAGAAAGTAGATGAAACAGAAACTAATGAAATAGAAAATTCACAAAAGAATCAATAAAATCAAAAGTTGTTTCTTTGAAAAAACTAGTAAAACTTTAAAATCCCTAGAAAGACAGATTATGAATATGAGAGAAGACACAGATTATCAACATCAAGAATGAAAAAGATGACATCTTTACATTAAAAAGACAAAAAAGATACCATCTAGGTGTAGGCAAAGAGTTCTTAGAGTTGATACTGAAAGTTCAGTTCATAAACGGAACAACCGATAAGCTGAATTT